GAGACTCTGCTCTTCATTAGAGGGTCTCCCCCTTTGCTGTGTGTGCAGGTGGTTCCTCCTAAAGTGATCCAGTCGCTCCTCCACATCTGCTATAAGGGCACGTTTGAGAAGCTGGAGGTTGCAGTGAAGGTCAGTCTCACACACACACACACACACACACACACACACACACACACACACAACAGGGCTCAAATGAGGCTCAATCAAATGAATCAATCAACTGATTCACTAAATGATTCACTGTTTTGAATCACATGAAACACCAGAGAGTGTTCAGAACATCGTAAGGTGCATCCCAAAACACATACATGTGCAGAGCTGTGACCCTCCAGGAATTGAGTTTAAGACCTATGCTCTAGATCAGGGGTGTTTAAACTCAGTCCTGGAGGGCCGGTGTCCTGTGAGTTTAGCTCCAACTTGCTCAACACACCTGCCTGGAAGTTTCTAGTGCATCTAGTAAGAGCTTGATCATCTGCTTCAGGTGTGTTTGATTAGGGGTGGAGCTAAACTAACCAGGACACCGCCCTTCAGGACTGAGTTTGAGCTAGATAGTCATGCAGCGTGAACTCAAACTCAAACATGCATCATTTACAGAACAAACCCCTGAACACACTATGGATTAGATGCAATAAATTATGCACTAATGAAATGCAATCAATCAACCAGCTCATACTGTGGAAAAAACGCCGTAATTTCTGCCACAATAAAAGTCTGCTCATACATCCAGCCCTGATCCCTCAACTGATGTGTGCAGGACATGATTGATCAGGGATACGCCGCTACTAATCTCCTCAACCAGCTACACGACGTCATCATCGAGGAGCAGCTGAGCGATAAGCAGAAGTCCGTCATCACTGAGAAGATGGCCGTAAGTACAAGAGAAGATCAGATCACTCACAGCAGACAATGCCAGTTAAATGTGACCCAACTCGCAGATCTGATCTGCTGTATGACTGTAAACAGGAAATAAACGCACGCATTCAGATATTCAGAGACGGGTTTCAGGCCTCCTTCATATGTGCAAATAAATCAGATATGTGCCAGTGCGACTGTGATGTAAACAGGCAGATCGGGTTCTGTTTAGTACATCATTAAACTTGTGACAGTGTGGTGATTCTCCGCGGTTTAATGATGTAGAACAGGGGTGTCAAACTCAATTCCTGGAGGGCTGCAGCCCTGCACAGTTTAGTTCCAACCCTGCTCCAACACACTTACCTGTAGGTTTCAAACAAGCCTGAAGGACTCAATTAGTTTGATCAGGTGTGTTTAATTAGGGTTGGAACTAAACTGTGCAGAGCTGCGGCCCTCCAGGAACTGAGTTTGACATCCCTGATGTAGAAGAAAGAGATGCTGACGCGGTAAACAACAACAACAGAAGAAACATGGAGGAGGAAAGTGGTCACAATCTGCAGACCTGAGATCTCCCTCATACTTACTAATTCCTCTGAATGGTGGAGGACACCACATATAAACCAAAGGCACAAGCTGCGATGACGGCCCCTTCCCTCCTCCTCTAAATCATCTTAAAGCTGGGTGAACTTTGCATATTTCACAGAGCTGAAACCAGGACAAGTTCTTCCATCATGGCCAGTGTGGCGCAGATGCTAGAGTCTGCCTTTTACACATGCACAATGTTATGCATTGTATGGCAAGTGTAAACTCATGGATCAGATATGGGTCACAATTAATAATCTGTGTATGCGGACAGGCAAACCAATCAGAATTCAGGATCAAGACCTGACTGTGTAAACGGGGCCAAAGAGTGTTTCATGTTAACAGCTGCTCTCTTGATCGGTTTCCTCCTTCCAAATTTTCCAAATTTGAACAGGTTACTTTGACTAGTGCGACTAGCGCTTGTTTTGATATTAGTTTATCAATATCAAATTATTAATAAAAGTTGATTAATCAAATACAGTTAAATGCTTTTGTTCTCTTCTTCGAGATTTGGCTTATTCTGCCCAGTGTTGAGGAAAAGTACTGTTGAAAATAATGCATTACAATATTGAGCGACTAGGCCCATTACCCATTCACTCTTGATGGTAACTCATGTTACGTTCCTTTAGAGGTACTTTAACGATATTTTTATATTGATTTGTGTATAACGCGCACTCTAAACACAAAACAATGTGCCTTTGTAATTAATCTAAACCCTGTATTAAACTATTATTATTGTTCTCTTTCACAGAGATAGACCACAGTGCTGCGTCTCTGCTGTTAATGCTGACATCTGATATTTAATGTCAAGATCACAAATAAATAAACTAAAATACAATAAAACTAAACAAACACCTCAAGCTTTATATGCTCGGATAACTCCAGTCAGAAGAACACGTGAAGTGACCGTGTGTGTGTGTGTGTGTGTGTGTGTGTGTGTGTGTGTGTGTGTGTTGCAGGAAGTGGACAAGTGTCTGGCAGACGGAGCAGACGAGTATCTGCAGCTGCTGAGTCTCTGCTCAGTCATCATGCAGCAGGCCACACAGAACACTTGATTCGCCAATCAGCTACTCTGACACACTTCTGACGACCAATCAGCTGCTCTGTCATCAGCATTGGTACTGATTTCACACAAAACTCCCCAAACTTTAGTTTTCAACCTTATTTTGTACATTTGAAGTTTGTAATTAAAAACTGTTTCTCATATTTGTTGAGGGATGATTTATTAATTTATTTATTATATTTGGGTCAAAGATGAGACGTTTCATTCACTGATAACACAAATAGACTCTTTTAATACAAATAATGTTTGTACTAAATCTCCTGATTAGACTTTTGGACACTTTTTTCATACTCAGTGACATTTAAACTCTATAATTAACTCTATAATTAATATAATATAAAGGCATAAACTGTCTTAAAATTCAGAAGTCTTCATTTACACCATAACACTCCAATTATTCCAGATGTGTGGAGCTGGTAGCCATTGACTTTCATAGTATTTTTAGTTCTATAAATGTCAATGACAAACTGTTTCCAACATTCCTCAAAATATCTTCTTTTGAGTTCAACAGAAAAAACAACAACTTTTAATTGTAATTTTTGGGTGAACTACCCATTTAAAACCTTTATTCATTTTAAATATACATAATTTAAAAAAATAAATAAATTATATTTAATTATAATTAATAAAAATAAATGTATTATAAATATTGTAATTAATTATTTAAAACTTGTTTAAAAATGCAAATTTCCAAACAAAATATGTATAATAAAATGTATAATTTATAAGCATATTAATTTATTAAGCAATTAATAAATAATAAATTAAAAATAACCATTTAAGTTAGGGTTTTGAGCACCATATCATTTATCCAACCATTGTATATATAATATAATTTAAAAACCAAAATAAACTCTTTTATCCAAACAATTCAAGTTTATTAAAGTTTTGAGCACCATATCAAGTTGTCAGAGTAAATCTGCACTGCAATGAAGCAGAGCATATAGAGGACACTTAACTCAGAAAAGCAAACGCCTCCAGAGGGAATACAGCAGGTCTAGAAGGGTCTGTTTCTGGATCGGGTGTTGATGAGACCCAGCACTGAGAAAGCACTTGCGGCTGCTGTCACCAGACTGATGGCACCGATAGCCCGCGATGCCTGAAAACACACAACACACACACAGAGGCAGGATATCGGTACATGTGTAAACCAATATATCGGTCCGTCTCTACCTGATGCTCTGAAAGGCAGGACTGAGACTCACCTGTTCGGACACTCCTTCACCGTAGCGGAGCAGAGTGACGAAGTGCTCACAGTTGCTGCCCAGCAGGTCATACGACACCTCCTGGCCGATGAGCATCTGTGCCCGCTGGATGATCTCCGAGACGGGCAGCGGCGTGTGATCGTCATCATATTTATTATTGATCCTGTATGAATCTGCACCCACCACCTCCTTCAAGAGCTGCATGCGGACCACAGCTTTACGGCTGAACACCGACTTCACACTGGACACAGCAGTGGCCTGACCTTCATCTGGAACACAAACAGGTACATTCTACTGTGAATGCTGTAAGATTGCTCTGTATGAAGACCAGATTTGAAATACAGATTATTAAAAATATAAACTATATACAGACGTGCAGCATTTTCCTCTCATCAGAAAACAATCACATGTGCTTAATGAGGATTTCTGCACTGAGGTAATATTTTAAAACAGTAATGTAACCTATTGTGATTTTGGGTTTCTGATCTCACTTTTAGTGCATTAAGCCATGTCAAGATATCAAGTGAACTTTATTTTGTTGTGTTCACTGTCTGTGTTCATCTGTTGAGTATTTTCAAATGACATTTATGTTCAAATAAATGGACAGCACAAAATCATGTTTAACTTTAAAAGTGGTCTAATCCTGATTATCGGTATATTGGTAAAACAATATATCGGTCATTCTCTACCTGATTTGCCCAGATATAAGATATTGGTATATCGGTAAATCTATATATTGGTCAGATTTTGCCTAGATGCAGAATATTGGTATGTTGGTAAATCTATATACTGGTTGATCTCTACTTAATTCGCCCAAATGCAGGATATCTGTATATCGGTAAATATATATGTTGGTCAATGTCTACCGATTCGCCCAGATGCAGGACATCAGTATATCGAGAAATCTGTATATTGGTCAATCTCATACTGATTCACCCAAATGCAGGATATCGGTAAATATATATACTGGTCGATCTTTTCTTGGTTCACCCAGATGCAGTATAAAAAACAAACAAATATATACATATATATATATATATATATATATATATAACCGATTTGCCCAATCTCAAATTGTCTAAATGCAGGAAATCGATATATCAGTGAATCTATATATTAGTCAATTTCTACCTGATTCGCCCAGCTGCAGGATATTGGTATACTGGTAAGTCTATATATCGGTCAATCTCGATTCGAATTGATTCGCCCAAATGCAGGAAATCTGTATATCTGTGAGTCTATATATATATATATTGGTCAATCTCTACCTGTATGGCCCAGAGTATATAAGTAAATCAATAAATCTGTATATTGGTCAATGTCTTAACTGATTCACCCAAATGCAGGATATCAGTAAATCTATATACTGGTCGATCACTACTTGGTTCACCCAGATGCAGGATATCGGTTTATCAGTGTGTGTGTGTGTATATATATATATATATATATATATATATATATATATATATATTTTTTATTTTTTATTTTTTATTTTTTTATTTTTTTTTTTGGTCAATGTTTAGCTGATTTGCCCAAATGCAGGATATCGGTAAACCTATAAATTAGTCAATGTCTAATCGATTCCCCTTGATGCAGGATATTGGTACATTGGTCAATCTTGAATTGTTTCGCCCAGATGCAGGATATCAGTATATCGGTAACTCTATATATATATATTGGTCAATATCTACCTGATTGGCCCAGATGCAGGATATCAGTAAATAAATAAATGTATATATTGATCAATTTCTTACTGATTCGCCCAGATGCAGGATATCGGTATATTGGTAAATCTATATATCGGTCAATCACGAATTGATTTGGCCAAATGCAGGATATCGGTGAATCTTTATTTATTGGACCATCTCTACCTGATTGGCCCAGAAGCAGTATATAAGTAAATCAATAAATCTATAAATTAGTCAATGTCTAACCGATTTGCCCAGATGCAGGATATTGGTTTATCGGAAAATCTATATATCGGTCAGTCCTTACCTGATTCACCCAGATGCAGGATATCAGTAAATCTAAATATTATTGAATGTGTAACCGATTTGCCCAGATGCAGGATATTAGTATATGAGGAAATCTATATATCGGTGAATGATTCGCCCACATGCAAGATATATATAAATCTCTATATTTGTTGATCCCTATCTGATTCGTTTATAGGCAGTTTATGGATTTATCGATAAACCTGAGGTTGACTGATATATTAACTGAAATCCAGAGGCAGGACAGAGACTCGGCTATTTAGACACGCAGCACTACTGAAATCTATTAGCAACTCAATTCCTCTGTCATCAATATGATCAATGTGTGTGTGTGTGTGTGTGTGTACTGACCGACAGGTGTGAGGTTGATGATGTATCCGTCTCCCAGATACAGAGCCCAGTGCTGATAGGCCGGTCTGAAGATCTCGATGAGGTCTCCTGGCTGAGGCTCCTCCACACACTGAAGGTGATCAGTTTCACCTGACGCCATCTGGACACACTCGAACACTTCAGCATTTCACAGAACATTTCTACCACCCTAAATGACTGAATTTGTGCAGCTTTTCACACAGAGTCTCTGCATGTCTTGTGTTGTTTTGCAGTGAGGAAACACACAAACAACAATATTGTACAATTAGCCTCTTTTAACCTGAACAAACACTCTAACTGATCCATCTGAGAGAAACCGAAGTGTTGAGCTCCTCTAACATATGCATTCTGCTGATCATAATTACTACAGAAGTGATCAAACACAGACAAATCTCTTCTACATTAGCAAAATCATCATTAGGTAGTTATTAATATAATAAATAAATAAAGTATATATTTGTTTGCCCGCAATGTAAAGGACAACACGATCATTATAAAGCACACATCTAAATATAGGCTACAATAAATACCGCTATAATAAACTCAGTTGTCTGTCTTTAGGAACTCTGATGCATCATTTTTCATCTGCATACATTATAAATTAATTATTAATTTTAAGATCAGCTTGTTTACTCACATTATCAGTTCTTCTCTGTTGATTATCCATCGTCCCACAGCATAATTCTGCACATTCTGAAAATAATATTAAATTATTTTGTTCATAATCTAAAAAATATCCTGTTTTTTTAAAATAAAAATAATGAATCTTTAGTATATTTAAATTGATTAAAAACATATATTTTAACTAAACATATAAATGCATAATAGAATGTTTGTAATGATATTTACATGTTCTGTTAATATTAAAAGCAACACTTTAAACTTTACTCACAACACGGAAATGAACACACGTGTGAATATGTTGACTGATGTGAAGTGTGTACAGCTGAAAAGAGCCAGAGAATGCTGGAGTAACACAAGACAATGAGTGACACACACACACACACAGCCCACAGCTCTTACAACACACACAATGGCATGACCTAATAATAGAGAAACAAGTGGAAAAGTGCCATGAGAAGTTTCAAACCGTGTTAATCAGAGATGATCATGAACATAATCTACACTTCACATATTAATGACCTGAAGTGAGTGGAGGAGGAGGATTTCCACATCAGTTTCATCTCAGTGCCGTTGGGTTCAGAGAGTTTATCACTGGAGTGTCTCTGGTTTTGTTGTTTGAGCTTAAGCACACACACACACACACACACACACAGCTCTACATGGAATAAACAGCACTTACGTATTAGCAGATTTCATCGTCGGCTGAACAGCTTCAATCCTCCATTGGAGCTTCAGTCTGTGTGTGTGAGAGAGAGAGAGAGTGTGTGTGTGTGTCTGATGCTGAAATGATCTGAACTCGCTGCTGCTGCGGTCACTCGCCGGTCACACACACACACACACACAAACACACAGACACTGCTGATGATCAACTCAGTCCAACATTCCTATAGTTCTCTTAGATCACGTTTAAAAGCTTTTCTGCTCGTTGTAATAAAGAATTTAATATAATAATAATTAATAATATTAATTCAAAATAAAATATAATTATGTACTTATTCATTCATCCAATCATTTTCTTGTCAGCTTAGTCCCTTTATTAATCAGGGGTCACCACAGCGGAATGAACCGCCAACTTAGCTAGCATATGTTTTACGCAGCGGATGCCCCTCCAGCTGCAACCCATCTCTGGGAAACATCCATACACATTCACACACACTATGGACAATTTAGCCTACCCAATCCCCCTGCATCGCCATTATGTAGTTATATAAAATTATTATTCATTCAGTCATTTATTCATTTTCTTTTCAGCTCAGTCCCTTTATTAATCAGCGGTCGCCACAGCAGAATGAACCGCCAACTATTCCAGCATATGTTTTACACAGCGGATGCCCTTCCAGCTGCAACCCAGTACTGGGAAAATGATTACTGATAGTGTGTATTAATATTTTAAGTCTGTATGTATTCATAAATAATAACCAAATCCATCCTTAAGTATACACACACACACACAGACAGACACACAGTATATACTATGTATAAACATATATAGTTTAATGTCTTGTTAATGTTTTAGTTCAGTTTATTTTAGTGCATCAAGCTAAATTAGATGTCAATAAGAACTACTTCCTTCACAGCTAGCTGGAGATGTATATTTATATTCAGCTAAAGCACACCCAATAACACACACACACTTCAGCTAAGGATGTAAATATTTCAGTCATGTCCGTCTTAACAGACACGAACAGAGGAAAGATCAGTTTTCTGGGTGTCTGAAGAACCTCTCGCTCCTCTAGTGACTGCATGTCTTCAGTGTTCTGTGGTTCAGCTCTTTCAGGAGTTTACTGGGGGAGGTTGAGCTGAAGCGCGCGCCCGGCAGGGGTCAGCATTGCGCATGTCTGTTATCTCCTGCTACACACGGGTCAAGCCTTCACTCGCATCTATTAATGTTATTTCATTCAGATCTCATCGTTCTCTTGTGTTTATCAGAACATACAAACACCTCAGGCGTTTTGAGTGACGGGTGCAGTCGAGGGACTGTGACTGTGTGTGTTTGTGTGTGTGCCAAGAGGCAAGCTAAACGACCCACTCTCGCGAGACTGGACATTGGTCTATCCAATCCGCCGGCGTCTCGCGAGAATAGAGGATAGTTCGATGGGTGAGGGACTTTCCTCATTCTCGCGAGACTCTGCGCCGTGAGGGTTACGCCTGCGTGCTGTTCTCGCGAGAGCGCGAGCGGAAGATGGCAGATGGCTGTTCCTCGTAGGGTGTGTGAGTGTGTGTCGTTTGTTTACCGTTCGATGCGTCGCTCCGGTGCGTGTCTCATTCCCGTCCGTCTCCGTTGAGTCACCGGACAGTGTTCATGTTGTGCGGGCTGCCGTTCTCCGCCGCTCATCTGTGTAAATATGACGGGAGAGAAGATCCGCTCGGTGCGCAAAGAGCGCAAGTCGGGTTTGGATCTACTGGAGCCGGACGAGGAGCCCGCGGCCACCGGGCCCGCCAAACACCGGGGCAGCAAGATCTTCAGCGGCGGGAACCACAGGATCAGCCGCTCCAGCTCCAGCCCCGGGGACCCTGACGGAGCCTATCCCGTGCATGAGTGCGTGTTCCGGGGCGACGTGAGGCGGCTGTCATCGCTCATCCGCACGCAGAACATCGCGCAGAAGGACGTGCACGGTGAGCTAGAACCTGCACACACATACACACACACACACACACACACACACACACCTGTCAGATTCATTCTGAATAACCCAGAGTCACTGAACGGCTGGAGTCATCTGGAGCCGCTTCAGTCAGTCAGAACACCACAACATGCCGGTCAGAAATCACCGTAATAACCGGATTCTCCGTCAACCTGGAGCCGTTTATTATGTATCTGTCATTCTAGTCTAGAAAGATGATCCAGAACCACAATAATCCACGATCATCTGAACCTGGAACACCTGTCAGAGGCATTTATAACAAGACCAGAGTCATCTGGAGCTGCGTTAGTCAGTCATAGCAAACCCAGACATCCAGATCCAGACTCGAGATCACATGTCCATCTAGACCCGTTAATGATTGATCAGTCATTATAATCTATATTCATGATGATCCACAACCAGAACCTGCATGTACACACACACACACACACACACACACACACACACACACACACACACACCTGTCAGAGACATTCACTGTGCGACCAGAGTCATCTGGAGCTGCTTAATTCAGTCACTGCAATCCACAACATGTCGATCTAGAACCTGAATATTGACAGTAAATCTGGAACCGTTATCATATGTCAGTCATTATAACATATAATCCTATATTCCAGAGCCATAATAATCTACATTCATCTGAATCTGCAGAACCAGCATATATATATATATATATATATATATATATATATATATATATATATATATATATATATATATACACACACCTGTCTGAGTTATTGAGTGTTCATATTCACACAGTCACAGCTGAAACTGCTTATTATTCTGTTAGAACAAATAAAGCATGTTGATCCAGAACCATAATTATAATCTGGATATATCTAGAAGCACAAATTAACACTTATAACAATTATGAATAACATTCCAGACTCCTGCTCTATCCAGAACATCATTATTTACTGTAGATCTGGAACTGTTCACTGGTCGTGATGATCCATACACACTCAGAACATAGATTATTCAGTCATCATGATCCAGACTCATGCTTATCTAGATCATAACACTAAATCTGGAACTGATGATCATAATAAGATATCATGCAGAAATACAGAGTTCCGTATGAGGGTGGATGTTGATTATTATGGCTCTAGATCTGCACGATTCTGGATTGTTTTGACTGAATAATAATCAGTTCAGGATGAGTATGGAGGACTGCTTTAACATTTAGACACAGGAATAAACCTGATGTAACTGATGCACTCAGACATATCAAAAGCTGTTTCTTGTTTTACATATTGGGGGAGTTTAAATTGTTATGAAAATACTACAATTCATAATAATAGGCATAATAATAATAATGATTATTATTTTTATGTCTCAATCAATTGTTGCTCAATCAGAAGTTTAACGCAGTGTAAGATGGCAGGAAACAGTTTGGGTAACTTTAGTGACTTTACAGGCAGTTGTTCATGTAAAACCACAGTGAAGAGGGGGAAATTGTGTATATTTTCACATTTACTGTAACATGTTCAGGTCAGCCAGCAGTACAAATTTACTAATGCACATTCTTTATACAAATCTTAATATGCACTTGAGAAAAAAATCTATTAATGAGGCCATTTGATGTGAATATTAGCAAAATGATCATATTCACACCACCAGCATAACATGCAAGCCATAGAGATGTGTTTGTACAACAAAATACAGGCGGTATAACCACTGATTATAATCAAAAGACCCTTAAATAATTACATAAATAGAGCTTTAGTAAAAAATAGAGCACTTACAGACAAACAGTTGAAGTCAGAATTATTAACACCGCTGTTTATTATTCCCCAATTTCTGTTTAGTGGAGAGCAGATTTCTCCAGCACATCTCTAATCATAACAGTGTTCATAACTCATCTCTAATAACTGATTTATTTTCTCTTTGTCATAAAGACAGTAAATAATATTAGACTAGATATTCTTCAAGACACTTCTATACAGCTTAAAGTGACATGTAAAGGCTTCACTAGGGTAATTAGGGTAACTAGGCAGGTTAGGGGAATTAGGCAGGTTATTGTATAATGATGGTTTGTTCTGTAGAAAATCAAGAAAAATATAGAGCTTAAAGGGGCGAATAATATTGACCTTAAAATGGTGTTAAAAAAATTAAAAACTGCTTTTATTGTAGTCGAAATAAAACAAATCAGACTTTCTCCAGAAGAACAAATATTATCAGACACACTGTGAACATTTCCTCAATCTGTTCAACATCATTTGAGAAATATTTAACAAAGAAGAACAAAATTAAAAGACTTGACTTCAGCTGTATATTTCAACGTTTCAATCAGCCCCAGAAATGATCTGCATATGCGAGCGCACACTGAGAGAAACCTAACCCTAACCCATGAAGTACACTACTTTAAATGTAGGATTGTACATGAGGCATAGTAGCTCTGAGTACAGTATCACTCAGTCTGAATAAGTGTGTTTGGTTTGTCCTGCAGGAAACACTCCTCTTCATCTGGCCGTCATGATGGGTCACAAAGGTGAGTCTGATAGCGCGTCACGTTTCCCAGCATGCACTGCAGCAGATAAACACGATGATCTGGTGTCAATGAGTCACTCGCATTGCAGCATAAAAACAGCATTATCCGCCCTCCTGTTATTTCTTTATCTGTTTATTTATTTATTTGTTTGTTTGTTTTTATTTATTTATTTATTTATTAAGTCCCAAATCTATTCACGCAATAGTTTAAGGTGATTATTTTTTTTGATTGAAAATGAAGACTGTACATTTTAAAATATAAATGATGTTGTCTTGATGACTGGAGAAAATAACAATTGGCTGTTAAATAATTATTTAGTTCTCTTTTGTTTTGTTCATTTACCAGAAATTGATTTCTTAAAGGGAAAATTCCCAGAACACACATCTGAAGATGAAACATTAATTATGTGCTAGATTATGTGTTATAATCCTGTTTAAACACACATGATCCTGTTGTGCTATTTTGTCAAATTTTCATTTAATGCAAAAGCATGGAGTAATCAACAATAATGAAGATAAATAAAGGGAACAGATGTTTAATTTCACTTCAACTATACCTCATAAGTTTAGATAAAGTCATATTTTTGAGTATAATGACAGCAGGTCATCACGGTGGTGCAGTGGGTAGCACAAATCCTCACAGTAGTAAGGTCGCTGGTTTGAGTCTGTGTGGAGTTTGCATGTTCTCCCCGTGTTGGTGTGGGTTTCCTCCGGGTGCTCCGGTTTCCCCCACAGTCCAAACACATGCGCTATAGGGGAACTGATCAACTACACTGGCACTAGTGTATGAGTGTGTGAATGCAAGAGTGTGTGGGTGCTGGCTAGTGTTGGGTTGTGGCTGGAAGGGCATCCGCTGTGTAATACATATGCTGGAATAGTTGGCGGTTCATTCATCTGTCGCAACCTCTGATTAATAAGAGACTGAGCAGAAGGAGAATGAATGAATGAGTATTACAGTAAACTACTGCTGAAGCCACATGTGGTACAGGGGAACTGAATAAGCGCAATTGGCTGTGGTCTATGTGTGTAATGCAAGAGTGTATGGGTGTTTCCCACTGTTGGGTTGCAGCTGAAGTGCATTCGCTGTGTAAAATATATGCTGGATAAGTTGGCGGTTCATTCCGCTGTGGTGACCCCTGATTAATAAAGGGACTAAGCCAAAAAGAAAAGGAATGAATGAATATTGACTAATCATTGTGTCTTCTGTTCATTGCATATCTGTTTTCAAACCAAAAAAAGTAAAACTAAGAGAACGGCTGTTTTTTGTTTTTTCTTTTGCTCACAATAAACAGGTAAACCCAGATTTTGGCTCTGATTTCATTTTTTGGTTTAGTGTAGGAAACATGCAGTGCTCATTTTCCTCTGCAACCAAATCTGAGCTCATGACACAGCCTTCAAAACACTAGTCCTGTGAGTTAAAACTGGAGGAAATCAAATAAAAACAAATGCTACCCGTAGTTGTAGCGCCAGGGCCCAATGTGTTCTTATTCTGGTGCTGCTAACAACTATTACAAAACTAAACAATAAAAAACACAGAGTAAACAATATTAATTATTATTTTTATTATTATTGGCCTATTATTATTCATTTATTCATTTTCTTGACGGCTTAGTCCCTTTATTAATCCGGGGTCACCACAGGGGAATGAACCGCCAACTTATCCAGCACGTTTTTACGCAGCGGATGCCCTTCACTTTGAATGGGTGGCGTCAGGCGTTGCCGAACTGCATTGTGGATCCGTCGGCGCCGCTTCAGAGGTGTTGCTCGCTGCAGAAGTTGGGACCAGCTCAAATTTTCAAGTGCAATGCGTCAGCCAATCAGATCGCTGTATGCAAATACAGCGGCTAGACAGTGGCCTATTGCTGACTGAATTTCATTGGCTGACGCTGCTATGGCAATCGCTTTAGACACGCCTTCAGTCAAGCGTTGACGCTGAAGCCCCGTGTGAATGGGCCGTTAGAGGTTAGACGTAACGCAGCAATGCTTGATTTCCTCCTGAAGCATGATGTGTTTTAATGTACTTCATCAAGTTTTGATGCATCTCTGTTCTCCTCGAAGAACATCCCTGCCTTTGTTTTGTGTGTGTGTGTGTGTGCGCACGTGTGTGTTGTGAAATATTAATGCACGGCTCCCCGGTGAGTGGACGACTACACTCTAATTTCATTAATACACTACTGGCGAATGAATAATGCAGACGGTGAATCTGCTGTGGTCAAGAGTGTTGAGTGAGTGTGCTGTCAGTGTGTATGACCACACACACACACACACACACACACACACACACACACACACACACACACACACACACACAGTCTGGACCACAGCGCCGTCCACTGACTTGTGCTGCAGGATCACCCCTATAATACTGTCATTAATCTGGACATGGTGGAGCAGTGGGTAGCACAATCACCTCACAGCAAGAAGGTCGCTGGTTTGAGTCTCGGCTGGGTCAGTTGGTGTTTCTGTGTGGAGTTTGCATGTTCTCCTCGTGTTAGCGTGGGTTTCCTCCGGGTGCTCCGGTTTCCCCCACAGTCCAAACACATGCGCTATAGGGGAACTGATCAACTACACTGGCACTAGTGTATGAGTGTGCAAGAGTCTGTGTGAGTGTTTCCCAGTGTTGGGTTGCAGCTGGAAGGGCATCCACTGTGTAAAAGATATGCTGAATAAGTTGTTGGTTCATTCATATGTGGCAAAATGAATGAATGATTTGGGCATGCCATGGAGGAATATTGATATGTAAGTTTATCAGTTTTGTTTAATTTTGCTGCACAGCTCATCCTGAAGTGGCAGCGTGTGTGTGTGTGTGTGTGTGTGTGTGTTTGTGTGTGTGTGTGTGTGTTTAATGCAGTTACCACTGTCTGCTCTGCATTTACACTCTGCTGAATGTTGACATGATGTGTGTGTGATCATTTGGAGAGGTGTGAAAGCAGCAGTAATAGTTAAATTGTGTGTGTGTGTGTGTGTGTGTGTGTGTGTGTGTGTGTGTGTGTACTCATTAATACCCATATGGCCTGTTCTGCGTGCAGCACTGCAGACTGCTGTATCCCACAATGCAGCGCATTAGACTTGACCTTCCATTTCCAGGTCTCCAGAAGAGCCACAGCTGATATTACAGTCCTGTGTGTGTGTGTGTGTGTGTGTGTGTGTGTGTGTGTGTGTGTGTGTGTGTGTGTGTGTGTGTAAATGCATTTAACTGACGCAGCTTACAGTAAATTCAGTACCTCCAGCTCGTGTGTGTGAGCAGCTGTGGTGTTTCAGATGCTGTATGGGGTGATGAGTTCATTATTAATGTCAGTGTGTACTGTAATTCTCCATTATTGAACATGCTGCAGTAAACACACTCAGCGTGCGTTTCCTTCTTTACAACTAACAAAACAGCAACACAATGCTGATCAAAACCACTGTTTACCAGGAGCTTAGTCAGCTAGAGTGCTGCTGTTTCTAGTGCACTTCTAGTCAGCAGACTGTAGTGTGTAATGCGTAATGTGTAGTATGTTGTGTGCGGTGTGTAGTATACAGTTCATAATGTGCAGTATGCAGTGTCTATTGCGTAATCAGTGGTGTGTGTGTAGTATGCAGTGTGTAGTGTGCAGTTAGTAGTGTGCAGCGAGTGTTGAATGAATTCAGCCATGTGTAAAATTCAGTCTTAGGTGTGTGTAGTATGCAGGGTGTAGTATGCAGAGTGTAATGGGTAGTATGCTGTGCAAAATGTGTAGTATGCAGTGTGTAGTGCGCAGTCCTAGTGTGTAGTATGCGTTGTGTAGTGCACAGTCCGTGGTGTGTAGTATGCAGTGTGTAGTGCGCAGTCCTAGTGTGTAGTATGCAGTGTGTAGTGCACAGTCCGTGGTGTGTAGTATGCAGTGTGTAGAGCGCAGTCTCTGGTGTGCAATCCGTAGTGTGTAGTATGCAGTGTGTAGTGAGCAGTCCTAGTGTGTAGAATACAGTGTGTAGTGCGCAGTCCGTGGTGTGTAGTATGCAGTGTGTTGCGAGCAGTCCTAGTGTGTAGTATGCAGTGTGTAGTGCACAGTCCATGGTGTGTAGTATGCAGTGTGTAGCGAGCAGTCCTAGTGTGTAGAATACAGTGTGTAGTGCACAGTCCGTGGTGTGTAGTATGCAGTGTGTAGTGCACAGTCTGTGGTGTGCAGTCCGTGGTGTGTAGTATAGACTGTGTAGCGAGCAGTCATAGTGTGTAGTATGCAGTGTGTAGTGCACAGTCCATGGTGTGTAGTATGCAGTGTGTAGCGAGCAGTCCTAGTGTGTAGAATACAGTGTGTAGTGCACAGTCCGTGGTGTGTAGTATGCAGTGTGTAGTGCACAGTCTGTGGTGTGCAGTCCGTGGTGTGTAGTATGCAGTGTGTAGTGCACAGTCTGTGGTGTGCAGTCCGTGGTGTGTAGTATAGACTGTGTAGCGAGCAGTCATAGTGTGTAGAATGCAGTGTGTAGTGCACAGTCCGTGGTGTGTAGTATGCAGTGTATAGTGCGCAGCCTGTGGTGTGTAGTATGCAGTGTGTTGCGAGCAGTCCTAGTGTGTAGAATGCAGTGTGTAGTGCGCAGCCTGTGGTGTGTAGTATGCAGTAATATGCGCACTACACACCACGGACTTTGCACTACACACTGCGTACTACACACTGCATACTAAACACCACGGATTGCGCAGCTGCATACTACACACACACACACACAGTTCTTTTAGTGTTTAATGCGTCATTAAGTCTCATTCCTGCTCTTACTGAAACTGCTGTAGTAGGGTATAAACACAAGTGTTGTGTAGTTTGTAGATGTGTGTGTGTGTGTGTGTGTGTGTGTAATAATCAGTGTGATCTGTGTGTGTCCTCCAGAATGTGCTCATCTCCTGCTGGCCCATAATGCACCAGTGAAGGTGAAAAACGCTCAGGGATGGAGTCCGCTCGCGGAGGCCATCAGCTACGGAGACCGGCAGATGAGTACGTCACCTGTGTGTGTGTGTGTGTGTGTGTGTGTGT